CGGAGTGTGCTAGCCAAGAGGGGGCAGGGATTGGCGGTGTGGGGAGATTTCTTGGCAGAGTTTAATGCCAAGTATTTTCCGGCGGAGGCAATGGACCGGATGGAGTCGCAGTTCCTGGCGTTGACTCAGGGCGAGCGATCGTTGCGGGAGTACGACTCGGAGTTCAGCCGACTCTTGGTGTACTCGGGGCGTGCGGGAGATCCTGAGCAGATGAAGGTGCGTCGGTTCATGAAGGGTCTCAGCCCTGACATGAGGGTGCGGTGCAAGGTGCGGGCCTATGCATCGCGTGTGGAGCTGGTTGAGGTGGCGGCAGGGATCGAGGACGAGTTGAGGAGCCACGGGGTGATTCCTAGTCCGTCGGCGCAGCCGAAGAAGACCCAGCCACAGTCGGTTCCGAGCAGAGGTGGCAAACCTGCTCAGAGACAGAAGAGGAAGTGGGATGACACTTCCAGGGTGAGTCAGGGTGATCGGAGGTGCTTCAGGTGTGGGAGCACGGATCACAGGGTGGCGAGCTGCCCGAAGAAGGGCGAGCCGTGGATGGATACCCGTGTCTGTTACCACGGCCGATCACAGGTTTAATTCTAAGACTCATTCTGTTTCCTTCCGTTGTTTTAGAATTTGTGTTGTTTCCTGTGATTTTGGGGTGGGCGGTCTTAGAGAAAAGGGTTTGTGTAGGGACCCTGTTGGTGGGCGGGTTCCTGTCCCAGGTGATGTTTGATTCTGGAGCTACGAATAGCTTCATTACCCCAGAGTGCGCGACGGGTGACAACATCTGAGGAGATCCCGATGGTTGTTATGGAGCCGTTAGAGTCGCAGAAGGCGCTTTGCTAGCGGTTCAGGGGCGGGCTAGTGGTGTGGATGTACAGATTGCGGAAGAATCGATGCCGGTAGATCTGTACATTAGTCCGGTGGAGTTGTATGATGTAATTCTGGGCATGGATTGGTTGGAGCGGCACAGAGTTCATCTGGATTGTCACCGGGGAAGAGTATACTTCGAGCGTCCCGGACCGAAGATGTATTTCCAGGGTGTGAGACCGATTTCGGGTTGACTAATGCACCATCGGCGATCATGAGGCTGATGAACAGCGTGTTCCAGACGTTTCTGGATGAGTTTGTTATCATCTTCATTGATGATATCCTGGTGTATTCTAAGAGTCCTGAGGAGCACGAGGTACACTTGCGGGCAGTATTGGAGAAGCTGCGGGAACAGAAGCTGTATGCTAAGTTGAGCAAGTGTAGTTTCTGGCAGAGAAAGATGGGTTTTCTGGGTCATATCGTGTCTGCAGAAGGAGTTTCTGTGGATCCAGAGAAGATTGAGGCTATCAGAGATTGGCCTAGACCGCAGAATGCCACATAGATTCGGAGTTTTCTGGGATTGGCAGGTTACTACAGGCGGTTTGTGAAGGGCTTTGCCAGTACAGCTCAGCCAATGACCAAGCTGACGGGGAAGAATGTTCCTTTTGTGTGGACTCCTGAGTGAGAACAGGGTTTCGCTCAACTCAAGGAGATGTTGACGAGTACGCCGGTTTTGGCTTTACCGGAGCAGGGAGAGCCGTATGTGGTGTACACGGACGCTTCGGGAGTTGGTTTGGGTTGTGTGTTGATGCAGCAGGGTAAGGTGATCGCCTATGTTTCGCGTCAGTTGCGGAAGAATGAGGGCAACTACCCTACTCATGATTTGGAGATGGCAGCGGTGGTCTTTGCTCTGAAGATTTGGAGATCTTATTTGTATGGAGCGAAGGTTCAGGTGTTTACAGATCATAAGAGTCTGAAGTATATATTCACGCAGCCTGAGTTGAACTTGAGGCAGAGGCGCTGGATGGAGTTGGTTGCTTACCATCCCGGTAAGACTAGCTTACCATCCTGGTAAGGCTAATCTGGTTGCAGATGCTCTGAGCAGGAAGCGAGCGGCTTCAGCTCGAGGGCAGGACATGGAGACCTTGGTGGGAGAACTTAGCACCTTGCGGTTGTGTGCTATTTCTCAGGAGCCACTAGGGTTAGAAGCGGCTAACCGAGCAGACCTTCTGACCAGAGTTCGAGCGGCTCAGGAGAAGGATGCAGGGCTGGTTAATGCTTCTAAGGATACTGAGTCAGAGTATCAGGTTGCAGCCAATGGGACTATCCTTGTGCATGGGCGAGTTTGTGTGCCCAAGGATGAAGAGTTGAGACGGGAGATCTTGAGTAAGGCTCATGCGAGTAGGTTCTCTATTCATCCAGGAGCGACCAAGATGTACCGAGATCAGAAGCGGTATTATCATTGGGTCGGGATGAAGAGGGACGTAGCTAAATGGGTCTCTGAGTGCGATGTATGTCAGCTAGTGAAGGCTGAGCATCAGGTGCCGAGTGGATTATTGCAGAGCCTCCCTATTCCAGAGTGGAAATGGGACATGATCACGATGGATTTCGTGGTGGGGTTGCCAGTGTCTCGGTTCAAGGATGCCATTTGGGTCATTGTGGACCGTTTGACTAAGTCTGCACATTTCTTGGCTATCAAGAAAACAGATGGAGCGGCAGTGCTAGCTAAGAAGTATGTGCAGGAAATTGTGAGACTTCATGGAGTACCGGCCAGTATTGTGTCAGACCGGGATTCGAAGTTCACTTCGGCGTTCTGGAAGGCTTTCCAGAAGGAGATGTGTACTAAGGTGCATTTGAGCACAGCTTACCACCCTCAGACAGACGGGCAGTCTGAGCGGACCATTCAGACACTCGAGGATCTGTTGAGGATGTGTGTGTTGGACTGGGGTGGTCAGTGGGCTGATCACTTGAGCTTGGTGGAGTTTGCTTATAATAATAGCTACCAGGCGAGTATTGGGATGGCTCCTTATGAAGCGTTGTATGGGAGGCCATGTCGGACACCTCTATGCTGGACTCAAGTGGGGGAGAGGAGCATATATGGTGCGGATTTTGTTCAGGAGACTTCAGAGAAGATTCGGGTTCTGAAGCTGAACATGAGAGAGGCGCAGGATCGGCAGAAGTGTTATGCTGATAAGAGGCGTAAAGAGTTGGAGTTTGAGGTTGGAGATATGGTGTATCTCAAGATGGCGATGTTGCGTGGTCCTAACAGGTCCCTTACCGCAACTAAGCTGAGTCCGAGGTTTATGGGTCCTTTCAGGATTGTGGAGCGGGTTGGACCGGTGGCTTATCGGTTGGAGTTACCTGAGGTAATGCATGCATTTCATAAGGTATTCCATGTGTCGATGCTGAGGAAGTGTCTTCACAAGGATGATGAGGTGTTGGCTACGATCCCGGCAGATCTTCAGCCTAGCATGACCTTGGAGGCGAGGCCAGTGAGGGTTCTCGAGAGGCGGGTAAAGGAACTTCGACGTAAGAAGATTCCTTTGATGAGAGTCCAGTGGGACTGTGATGGAGTCTTGGAGGAGACGTGGGAGCCAGTGGCCAGGATGAAGGCAAGGTTCCGGAAGTGGTTTGACAAGCAGGTCGAGGAGTAGACCGTTGGCTTGTTAGGTTTTTGAGTTTGGTTTTGGTTGTATCTCTTTTGTTTTCTCATTTTTGGTGTAATGATTATGACATTGGAGATTAATAAGATGAGTATTTCTTGGAGTTGACTTGTTGTGTCATGTGTAAGAGAAATATGTGCGAGTTTCTAAAAATAGAAAGTGTCGGGTTTGACGGTTCTATTTTTGGAAAGTCTCGGGGTGGTGGTTAGTATAGCATTGCGATGTTATAAGTGGACCACGGGAGGTATATCTGATCGAGAGATATGCTCGGGGGCGTTTAGACTTATTTGCTCGGATATGATGTGATGGCCTCGGATGACGATTCGAGTGCACGCTTGAGGGTGACGACCCGAGAGCGAGCGTGTGACTTCCCGGATACCGTAGCTAGAAGGCGGGTGGCCTAATAGTGAGCCGGTATGACTTGAGGGTTGCGACCTGAGAGCGGGGGAAGTGGTGAGGCTTCCTGGATACCGTAGTCTAAGGCCGAGGCCTGAGGACGAGCCGGTATGATCCACGGGTTGCGACCTATGGACGGGGGAGGTGGGTGTGTATGAGCAAATAAGGTCTGGAACGTGAGTATATTGATTACGTTGAATTGGTTGTGTTAGTAAGATTGTCTGTTTTGCTTTAAATGGGTTAATCCGGATTGTTTGCAGGTTTAAAAGAAAAAAAAAATGGGATGGGTTCTTTCACACTAACATAAGAGTGAAACCTAAATTATTCTCAGCAACTAAATTTTGTGTAGTTTCTAAAACAAAAATAAATATGTCAATGTCAATAGTAAAACTGTCACCAACCAATTCAGGCCATAATGGTAACATACCATTTGCGGATTTTAAAACTGAAAATAGAAAACCATCTTTTCTACACCAATCAACTTTTATTACCTAAATTTGCGTTTTTTGAGAAAAAAAAAACATATGCGGTTTTCGAAACATAAAATGGTCACGGACCGCTTTGAAAACAAATCCCTCTCCTTATCTTGTGGTTTTATTGACATCCGCACTGGATATCCCAAAGATAAGTTATTTTCTGAATTTTTTAATTGAAAAAATGGTACAAAAGCTAACATCAAAACCCATTATACACGAGATATCAAAAGCATTGTTATACTCACCCATTATACATCATTTTACTCTTCTCATCTCTTCTTTTTCGGCAAATTTTTTTTTTTGGCAAATACAATAATCCATTCATATAAGGTAATTTTTTTCTTTTTCATAATTTTTTAGATAATACAACTTATTTTATATGTTAACCAACTCAAATGTTTAATATTTGATTCATAAGATTAAAGTGTATGATTTTTAAGATTAAAGTGTTATATATTTTATATATAAGTTTTTTATGTTAAAGTATTAAGCAAATCAAATGTTTTCCTCTTAATCAAATGTTAAATATTCAAAAATACTTTTATATACAAAAGTTTATTTTAAGTGAATAATAGGTAATTTTTGAATATATAATATATGTTTATATTAGTATAGTATATATAATTGATTTAGTTAAAAATGGAGAATTCTTTCTGATTTCCAAGATATAATGTCCACAATTAAAAAAATGTGATAATGGCTACAGTGGGATTACATAATTTCATCAGAATTTTATAATGTCCACCACCTTTGTCACCGTCACCACCACCCCACCTCCTTACAACCATCACTCCCACCTCCCAACCACCAGCCACCACCACCATCTCCGGCGACCGACCACCATTACCGCAGGTGGACAGCCATTATCAACTCCTGTCACCATCGCCACCACCACCTTCATCACCGTCACCACCACCATCGGTCACCACTACTTGCGATCACTGGCCACCACCTCCGTTCACCGTCACCTCTGGCCGCCGGCCACCATCACTTCTGGCTGTTGGCCACCATCACCGTCGATCACCACTGGTCACCACCACCCTAGAACCACCCACCACTATCACCAACCAATCACAACTCCAAAATTGTAATTTTCTCACGGGAATATTGTGGGCTCTGCCCTTTTCTAAACTCAAAAATGTTAAACTGCCATTATCAAAAACATTTTTCAAAACGTGCCACATTAGGGAGTGATTGGACGATTTTGCCCTCAGCCTTGGAAAATGAAACTTAGCACTTTTATGTTCGAAAATAGTAAGGATGGGACGTTATTTAAGGCACCAGCAGTGGGCATTAATGGCTGGGATGTAGCCTAATATCCTATGGGTAATAGATTAAGTAGGTGATTAGAGAGGTTGTAAAGCAGTTCTGGTTTGGCATGGAGGACAAGTAGTGTAGAGCAGTGATTTTCGAGTTCTTGGTGGTGAAGAAGCAAGAAGGAGCAGAGATTCAATTTATTGTAACTTAATCGCGACGGACAAGATAGAGTGAGGATAGACATGTATTTCGATAGACAATCTATAAAATGATATCAAAAATAGTTGAACGAGTAAGTATTATATGATGGACAAAATATATAAAGTAGTCCATAGAAAACTCACTTTGACATATTCCAAGAGACAACTCCGATGCATGTCCTCTAACATGTGGTGAGTAAGATTTGTACTCCAACAAGGTTTGTCTAGGCTTTCTTAAATCGGTGAAGGACAAACACAAAAAGACGAGTTAGAAGAAGATATGGACAACTGTGTTGATGGCCATATTGGGTGCAGTAGGTCTAGTCTATCAAAACTAACATTGAAAGTTTTGAGAGACAACTCTTATTTGGGTACCGAAACCAGGAGTTTGGTCCTCCACCACAGACGTTCTATAGAATGACATAAATAAAGTTATATATGATGGAAAAAATATAAAAAGTAGATATGGTCCATCGAAAGCTTACTTTGATGGTTCTGAGGGACTTCTCCACTGCATGTCCTCCGACGTGGGGTGAGTAGGCGGTACTCCGGCAAGGATTTCATAAGCTTTCTTAAACTGATGAAGGACAAACACAAAAAGATAAGTAGTAAACTATATGGACAATTGTGTTGATGGACATGTTAGGTGCAGTAGATCTGGTCCATCGAAACTTACATTGAGGAATTCCGAGAATAAATTTTGTTTGGATATCGAGCCGAGAGGATCTCCGCCGTCTAGAGATCTGGAATGATCATCTCCGTGTTCACCGTCTTCAATATCAAAATATTGAACTAGATCAAAAGTAAAACATGGTGGGAGAATTTGTGAACTGAAAAAATTGTTTAGTATGAGTTGTTTGTTCATTAGAGAAAATTGTATATCTGTAGAATGTGAACAGTCAAATCTGGGGAAGAAAACCCCTGAAACGTCGCAGGAAAAAATAAACCAACCCAGCTTTTTACTCTGCACAAGAATCAATACTATAAGGGTAAAATTGTCTTTTTGGCCCTTATGGCAGGCGGGAGAAGACATTAGAGAAAGTGACAATGCTTACAATTTTGGTTACTGTACAGGGCATAGGATATAATTTTCTCTTTTCTCTAGCGCTAATCCTATTTTTCTAATTTTTTCAAACAATGTGCTATATTCTTTATTTTGATATCTCAAATGAATATTCACCTAATTCACCCAAAGAAAATGTCAATAGTAAAAAAAAAAAAAAAAAATCTCAGAAAATGTTGGCATCGTCGAAGGAGATGGGTTTTTCCAAAAGAAAAAAGATTATATAAATATATTTTTTATTGAGATTTAGGCTTTTTTTGGTAAAGTTGTAATTTTATTTCCATAACAATAAAGTTGAGGGTACAATTGAGTATTTTCCTATTCTAAAACCTACTATACCAAGTTTTTTAAAAAAAAAGCATAAACAGACAAAGTTGAAAAAATATCCTTTTAAATCAATAATCCTTTTTTTGTTATCTTTATAAATTAAAGTTTTTAATTTTATTTCCATAAAAATCAAATTAAGTGGCCGATTGGTTGAGTGCTTTCAAAATATTTAAAGCCTTTACAACAATTATTTTGCCAATCAAACTTTTGGCTTTTTTTTTTTAAGCATTGACCGTCACTTTTATTTTTCTCTTCTTTGTTATCTCATTTTTTTAGAAGCGTCAAAAATCTGACTTTAAAATCTAAACAATTAAAAACTATTTATTTTTTACATCCCCATTACATTAAAAAAATTCTAAAAGTTTATAAATATATTTTATTTTTACAAATTAATTATTCTCATTTTTTCTTGTTCTTTTAAGATCCATTTCAATAATAATCAGTTTTATTTTCATCATCATTAATAATGATGATGTAAAAGAGTTATGAAATTTATGTTTATATGTTTATATGTTTATATAGGGAGTAACAGTCAAAACAATGCATTAATTAATGTTTAACATATTGCTTTTATAAACAAAAAACATTTGAAATAGTTTTAAAACACCATTATTATTTGTCATAATTATCTATGAAGAATCAATCACCAAAAAGAATAATAATAAAAATTAAAACCACACTTTATATTTATTATATTTATATTTATCATTTCTAACATAATTTATATTTATTATTAATATAAAATAGTAATAATAAAAATAACAGCCACGACTTTAAAAGTGGTACATTACCAATCAGATTTTAACAGTAAAAGTTTTTACAGCCAAAACATATACAGCCAAATTCTTTGCAACTAAAATTTTAAAGTCAAAGTACCTACCGCCAAAAGTAATCGTAGTTACCAATCGGAATACATACAAACTTAAAAAAAAAGATATATATGGACATATTGATTAACAAAATTCCTTTTACATCAAATATCCCATAAATTTTGATTTCTAAAAGAATCTTTTTTTAACCAGAATAAAATATTTTTCTAAAACTAGATAAATCTGAAACTGTAATGTTTTAAACTAACCGGAACCAAATATCGAATTGTCATTTAGTCATCATCACTAAAACCTGAAACCAAGTAAAACCGTGGATAGGTTCAGCACTCTATCGATCCAACTCGGCTTAACTCAGCCCAACTAGGCCCAACTCGGTTTAACTCAGCCCAACACGGCCCAACTACGTTTCACCATCTCTCTCATGTCTGCGCGTGGATATTCTCAGCGAAAAGTGTATCTCCTCCTTCCTCTCTACTCCAAAAAAAATTCACTTCGCTAGGGTTTTCGATTTCGTCTATTTCTTCAATTCTAATCGATTCAGAAACCCAAAAATCTGGTGTAAACAGTCTCTCGTTTTGATCTTTCAATGGATTCTCGAGATTCGTTGTCAGCTGTATCATCCGACGCCGCGAGAGATGCGTCGTCACTCTCCGAAGACGCCGTTCTCTCTGTTACCTCTACACTCGCTAAGTCCGCTTTATCTTGCTTCCAATCTGGGGATTTCGAAGAATGTATCGACATTTTGATTCAGCTCGATCAGAAGAAGCATAACGATCCTAAGGTTCGCTTTTTTTTTTTTTTTTGGATACAATAGTTCTGATGAAGTTTGGATTTGCCTTATAATTATGCTTGTTTTGATTCATATATGCTTAGATCGGTATTAGGTAAAAAAAAGATTTTGGTTTGACTTGATGAACAGTTTACTAAGTTTAGATCTGACTTGTCCCAAGTTATTTGATTTACTCAATTGTGAGGTAGAGGTAGGCTTTTAGCTTTGTATCCATCTGATATTACAGTGGAAAGCCTTCATTTTGGTAATACAAGTCATTTGTGGATGAACATTGTAGATTTAGAAACTGCTTTATAGAGAATTTTGAAATAATTAAGTTCCGAGAAGGCCATGGCTTATGACTTGTTTTGTTTATTTGATTGAGCAGGTTCTACACAATATGGCAATTGCAGAGTACTTCAAGGGTGGTTGCTCGAAATCCAAGAAATTGCTGGAAGAGCTTAACTGTGTCAAGGTATTGTGTTTGCACTTCTGCTTAGGATCCGTCTACTCACCCGAGTTTTTTAGGTTTTTTCGTAGTTCAGCTGCAAAAGTTATCTATCACAGATTCTGTTCTGCAATTTTTGTATTCCATGAGAACAAGAATATGTTTTCTAATTGGAGTTCTCGTTTATTTTTCTTGTCTCTTCTTGTTGTTGTCCCTGGATTGGACCAGTACATATTAGGAAAAAACATACTGGAGAAAGAAATGTTTTATTAGCAGTCTTTATGTTGATCTCTTTGTCATGATTTCTTCATCTCTTCTATATCTTCAGAAACAGAGTGAAGAACTTGCTTCTGCAGCAAGAGAACAAGTGGAAGCTGTAAACCCTGGAACTAACGCATCTGTGTCAAAGTATCAATATGATACTACATTAACAATTCTCAACATTGTATGTTCTTATGTATTTCCATGTCTTTTTGAGTCTCAGCTATACCATTCGCATTTTTGAAGTTTTAGTATTGACTTTCATTGGTCTCCTGCAGGCAGTTACCTGGTTTCATATGCATCAGTATGCAAAATCTTCATCCATTCTAGAACCTTTGTTTCAAAATATTGAGCCGCTAGATGAGGTACGTATCCATCTCTTCTTTCTGTTCTACTTTGTTAAAACTGGCCTACTGGCTCTAATTAGACAACATGCTATTTATATGCAGACAATCGCACTTCAAATCTGTTTCTTGTTGCTGGATATTGCACTGGCTTGCCGTGATGCTGTTAAATTTCTGGTAAGAATTGTTTGTACTGGTTTCAAGGCCTAGAAATATACTCCAACTGATCTCTTTTGCTAGTGGAAAATTCAACCAATATTTTAGAGCTGTAGTGTAAAGTTTCTGAACTGAAATGTACTTGTTTTCTATCTCTACAGTATTCTTTTGTTCGGAGTGCTATAGTATTCTTTTGTTAGATGTGCCTTTTCTGTTAGAATTTTATACATGTCTGCAAGGTCCAATACGGTTATGATCAACAAATATGATAAATCTTTAAACTGCCATGAGAAACTCGAAACCAGCTGGTGTCCAATTTTTTACTAGAAAACAGGCAATCGTTGACAGATGATTCTATGTAGGTATAGTCTGATAGGGAAGGTTGGACTATTAGCTCGGTGTTAGGAATTGTGTCTTCACTTTGTATGCTATGCTGTGGCATTGTTGAATGAATTTTGCATTCATCAGTTAATATTCTCATTTGCATGGAGTCTCTCTGTAGATATTTCTATATCTCTGTATCTTACAAGTATTATGTACAGGCTGTGTTTGACTATATGGACAAAGCTTTTTGTGTTGGTTTTGGAAGTCATGAAGAAAATGGTACAATGCAACTTTCTTCCAATCAGGTATCAAAGACATCTTCTCTCCTGAGCAGCTCGGTGGTTTCAGATACTTTGAAGTCCGACTTAACAGCCGCCGAAAGTAGTTTGTGCGAGGAAACTCTTGATTATGACAATATGCTAGCAGAAATGGAGGCAGAGAAACGAATGAAGCCTGTCGGCCACATTCCAGCAAACAATATTCTCAAGACATTAAGCGAAAGGTCATTCTCGACTGCTGATCTGAAACTCGAGTTGCAACTTTACAAGGTCCGATTTTTGCTTCTTACCAGAAACTTGAAACTGGCGAAGCGTGAAGTTAAACATGCAATGAACATTGCTCAGAAAAGGGACTCTTCTATGGCTCTCCTCTTGAAATCCCAGCTTGAGTATGCTCATGGGAATCATCAAAAGGCTATGAAGCTTCTGGTGGTCTCTGGTATTCAAAAAGAAGCAGGGACTTCAGGAATCTTCGACAACAACCTTGGTTGCATATACTATCAGCTTGGAAAGTATGAAGCTTCCTCTCGGTTATTTGCAAAAGCTCTAAGGAGCTGTTCATCACTTCGAAACAAGAAACCAGTGAAGATGTTTTCTCTCTCACAGGATAAGTCTTTGTTAATCACCTACAACATGGGTTTGCTTTATTTGGCGCGTGGGGAGCCTCTACTTGCTGCTCAATGTTTCCAGAAGGCAAGTGTAGTTTTCTGCAGACAACCCCTCATTTGGCTCCGTTTAGCTGAATGCTGTATAATGGCTTTACAAAAGGGCCTTTTGGAAGAGAGAAACACTTCTTTGGATAGATCAGAAATCAGAGCCAATGTAGTTGGGAAAGGGAAGTGGAGAAAACTTTTGATTGAAGAAAATGGACATGTGGAACATGCTGGTAGTACTCAGTGCCGAAAGCTTTCGTTACCACTGGCACGGGCCTGTCTCTCAAATGGTATATATCTGCTCAATGAGTCTCTCTTGAGTGATTCTAAATCAGATCTTCAATCGACATTATCCGTGGGGACGAATGAGACCCAAGAAGCATCATCCGCTGATCATGGGGATGCTAACACGAACTCAGACTTGAAAGAGACAAAAGGAGGAATGAACCAGGACATAATCCAAAACTCCCTCTCTGCTTTCAAGGATGTTCAAAGTAGAGAAAAGCAATTGCTTAAACAGGCACTGCTTGCCAATACGGCATATGTTGAACTGGAGTTGGAGGATCCTATCAAAGCCTTGTCGGCTGCTAATTCACTCTTGCAACTTCCTGATTGTTCAAAGATTTATGTTTTCTTAGGCCATATTTATGCAGCAGAGGCCCTCTGCTTGCTCAACCGTCCTGTTGAAGCTGGCGCACATTTATCTGCCTATCTAGTTGGACAGGATGATTTTAAATTGCCATATGCTCAAGAAGACTTTGACCAGTGGCGTATGCACACAAGCTCTGAATGTGAAGAGACATCGGACTCGCCAACTGGAAACACCCGGGATTCTGTTTTCCTAAAGCCCGAAGAAGCTCGTGGAGCACTTTTTGCAGACCTTGCAGCGCTACTTGCCACACAAGGACATCATGAACAGGCCAAACACATGATAACAAACGCATTAACTCTCTTACCAAACAACGTACAAGCGACAGTTACAGCAATCTACATCGACCTCATGTTGGGTAGGTCACAAGACGCCATTACTCGGTTAAAACAGTGTACCCGTGTGAGCTTTGTTCCAGGCAGATTGGAAGTGAGAGCCTCGTAGAAGAAGATAACATACTCTTAAAAACGGTATGGTTTTTTCTTATTTTCAAATCCAAGCTTTAGAAAATTAGATCGTTCTATAAATATATCAGAGAATAAGCTTTTGTACAAGTTTTTATTTTATTTTTTTGTCCTTGTATTCTTGACTTAGATTTTGGATCGTCAGAGGGGTTAGTCTATTTCTTGTTCATGAACGAACAACATAAGATTTGGTAGAAGAACAAAACACAAGTTTTTTCTTTTTTTTTTGTACCTTGTTTAATTTTGTTTCAGAACAAAACCCTTTAATTCAATTTACTTTGGGTTTAGCTTTTGAATCTTTGTAACTTGTTGGGAAAGCAAAATTAGCTTTTGTGAACATGTGAAACCTTGTGCAGAACAAAATGTCCCCTTTCATTTTAATAATGGAGAAGGTAAAGAAGAAGCTTGGAGACCCAACAATACACGTGTCAGTATAAGCTTGAAGAAGAACCTAGAAGTTTTAAACTTCGACACGTGTCATCTTTTCAGTGTCTTAGAAAAAGTTGTTAATTTTAATAATCACACAAAAGTCAGATTTTATTTCCATCTAAAGTAAAGAATTAATGTTCCCAAAGACAAATATGACTCCAAAGGGAATATATTAATTAATAATGGATTTTATGAACTTATCATTATGACTAAAAAATTCAATAATTTAAGTGTTTTTCTTTTAATTCTTGATTTATTATTATTGTAAATTATGATAACAGTAACAATAACAATTCTATTACAAACAATTTTCACCTATCCTATTAAATTTATTACAGATTATATCATTTTTTTACGATACCTTATTTTTTATCTGTATAATCACAGCAAACAGTTTTAATTGTGCATTGTTGTAAATCATATGTAAGTTTATTTTTTTAGTCTGTAAATTAATAAATCGTATTATCCGAGCGTCGAATCCCAAACCTTTTGGTGTAGAAACTTTAAACCACTTTGGTCAACCACCACTAGACCGAAGAAGATTCCACAAGTGTTTAATAAATGATTTCGGGTTTTTTTTAATATTATTTTGTTTTTTATTCCGATTAAAGTAAAAATCTATGTTTTCAGATTCTCTATAGAACGACAAAAAAGCTTCTTCAAGCAATCTTAGACCACAATAATGGCGAACAACGAAGAACTCTATGAAAATTCAAACTCTAATGGAATAGACTCCTTCGATGCTGTAAAACAACGATTCAAGGATCGATCAAAGGTTTCTTGAGAAAAATTTGATTTTCACCAATTTGATTTTTTCGATTTTTGACTTCTGTGCCATTTTTTTTTTTTTTTTTTGTGGTAATGAATAGAAAGTTGTTCAGACAAGAGAGTTGTTGTCTAAACAAGCGGTGCAAACGCGTGAGATCTTATCGAAACAAGCCGTCAAGATCGCTAAACAAGCCGAAGAACATGAGAGATTCATCAATAAGGTTTTATATATCTTTTTACTTTTCTTGTATTCATTTTGTTTGATTTATAACCAAATCAATCATGTTTTGGTTTTGAAAACAATGTTTGTTCTGTAATGTTTTTTAAAGGTGACACATCTCGTTGGTGTGCTTGGATTTGGAGGTTTTTGTTTCCTACTTGGTGCAAGTGAGTTTATAATCAAGAAAAAGTTTGATTTTTGATGTTTTTGGTTTTGTTGTTTTGAGAATTAAAGATTGATGAATGTTTTGGTGATTCTCAGGGCCTCAGGATATACCTTTAGTGTATTGCTTGTTCTATGTGATCTTTGTTCCTCTGAGATGGATTTATTACAGGTTTAAGAAATGGCATTATTATCTTCTGGTAATGTCTCTCTCTTTTACATACTTTACACACCCTTTTGAAGTTTCTTGAATTAAGAAACTGTATACTTAAAAAACTAATTGTGGATTTGATAGGACTTCTGCTACTATGCCAACACAATCTTCTTGGTTGATCTTCTTTTGTATCCTAAGAATGAAAAGCTTTTCATGGTTTGCTTTTCCTTTGCAGAGGTATGCTTTTTTTTGGTAATTACATGTATTAAGATAGTTTTGTGTCATTGTGTGTGCTGATTTGTGTCAATTGGTTGTGTATTTTGCTGCAGGGACCGTTGGCGTGGGCAATTATTGTCTGGCGTTGCAGTCTTGTGTTCAGTTCGCCGGATAAGATTGTTAGTGTTCTTATACATCTCTTACCTGGTGAGTTTTATAATCTTCTTATTACTCTTCAGTGTTGACAAAGAAATGTTGGAGATTCATGTTGCTAAAGTTGTTGGCAATGATTCAAAATATTGGATCTTGTTTAGTATTTTGTATCCTGTTCTTCAGATAGACGTGATCACATGGTTCTCTGTTGCATATTTTGGATAAGATTTGATTACGCAGTAAAAGCCATGAGTAATGCAAGACTTATTGAAGCTTATATGCTCTCTCTCTCCTTTGATTACGCAGTAAAAGCCATGAGTAATGCAAGACTTATTGAAGCTTATATGCTCTCTCTCTCCTTTGATTATTTAGACTTGTAATGACTTTGGTTTCAGGGCTCGTGTTCTTCACGATTAGATGGTGGAATCCAGCGACCTTTGCAGCGATGCACCCTGTAGGCACTGATCGTAGGGTTTCATGGCCTTATGTGGAAGACAAAGCTTACCTTTTTACATGGCTGTTTCTCATCCCCTTGGTCGTTTATACTCTTTGGCAAGTGCTCTATTTTCTAATTGTCAATGTCCTGCGTAGGCAAAGGCTCCTGAGAGATCCTGAAGTTATGACTTCTTACAGGTACCATTGCTGCAACATCTATCTATCTTGTATTTAGACCCCTCAGATTGGCAGTATTTTAATGTTCTGCTCACAGTTAAATGCTATAGTTCCAAACTTCATGTAGCTCATTTGGCTACTTAGTATTAGTATCCTTAGAAATATCGCTTCTACGTTCTAGTTTGTATTATTCGGAATGGCAGAACTGTGCAAATGAAAAAATTTAACTGAATAGTAGCTCAGTTCTTCTGTTTGTCATGAATATTAAATCTAAGCATGTTATTTATTAATCATACCTTCTATGTTCTGAGACTATGTTGAATTGGTGATTGTTTATGTGTTTAAAATTGGTAGTATGTATGTATGTATCAAGCCATTTGTTAAATTGCAATTGAATGTTTCATGGCTAAAGACCACAACACAATGTAATGTGTTCTTACCATAGACTGAAACCTGTCCTGATGAAATCTTCTGGTCTGTGCAGAGAGCTGTCGAAGAAAGCTGAAAAGGCAAACAATAAGTTGTGGCAGCTGAGCGGTCTGCTAGGGGATCAAAACCGTATGTGGATGTACATCCTATTCCAGGCCATCTTCACGGTTGCAACCATGGCATTGACCGTACCAATCTTCATGTCTTATAGACTGCACGTGATCTTTCAAATCCTAAAGATTTCAGCGGCAGTGTGGAACGGAGGGAGCTTTTTACTAGAGGTAATGCCTCGGCAAGTGATCCAGAAAGAGAAGAAGAAGAAAGCAGAGATGCAGCCGATAGAGGAGCAAGTACCGCAACATGAACCTGTGACTCAGAATGAGCCAAAATCTACCGAAACATGATGATGGTGTTATAACAGAAAGGTACCTGTAAACATAAAGTTTTTCAGAATCATGATTGGTGTTTTTTTGTTCCTCCATGTTTTTGTTTTATAACAGTTTGTTTCTCTTGTTTGGTATTATACATCATTCTAAAAGCTTAATGTGAATGAACTTTGTAGTTTCCTTTTTCTATAGAAACTTGTAAGTTACTCTTTAGCCAAAGTTTTATTCTTGTTTTGCTGTTAGAAGACAACCTCTCTGATCATTCTGCCTTTAATTGCATTGTGAGAAATTTAACTTATACTCGTTTGTAATGTATTCGCGAAAAAAAGGAAAAATCTTTGAATTTCAGTAAAGTAGCTTGTCAAATTAGTTCTATTATATACTTTTCATGTACCACTCTTAACTATACCCAAAATCGAAAATTACACTATATACAGAGAACTAACAAGGTCGTTGTATTCCTAAGTCATCTTAAGTTAGGGTCTTAAAGGAACGATATATAGTATTGATAGCTAGACTTTAACTAACTCAAATAACTACAGTTAAGTCAGGTTTTGAAGTCGCGAGAGCTCTCTTTCGTTCAGCATGCGACTCCCTTCTCAAGGTTTCCTTAAGGACCGAGTGTTACGACACTCCTGGCGCAAGCATGGGAATTTAAAATTACATGTTTGCACTTTTCGACTATTAACCATTTATTCTTTAAATACCCAACAAAGGCAGATTACAAGTGAATGAACGGAGCTCAATAGTCCAAAATAAAAGCCCAAACATAAACCTATACAAGTGATACAGCAAAGCAAGAACCTAAGTTTACAATGAGACACGTACTAGACACGTGTTTTTACTTAAAGGTGCAGTGGGAAACAACTGATTCGAGGCCGTCTTTCCATCAGAGTTGAACCACCGATCAGAACCAAAAACTTTGATGGATTTTGATGGATTTCAACTTCTTACTATGAATTTCACCTAAGACCTTCTGCAGTTTTCTCTGAGAATGAGAAAAACAGAGACACTTGAATCTTCAAATCTATCAAACCTAGGAAACGCAATAAGATGAGAAATCAAACTAGTTGCAAAATTTTGCTCTCCTAATTAGTTCTTCACCAGCCACGAATTCCTCTCATCACAATTCATAAGCCCAAGGAGAAACCATAATCCAAAACCAATCAAACGACCTTCAGTAGAGGGTATGAAGATATACTCTCCTCGTGGATGGAATCGAGCAATTAAAGATTCAGAGTCTCTAAATCAAACCCTTAACTTTTTCCTCTTTCTAATTTGTACCACAAAAGGATTAACATCCGCAAAAGAAGAAGAGAAACAAAAAAACTAAAAAACTAAAAAAAAAAACCACAAAGACTCAGAAAAAGCTCGCACTTAGGCGAGAAAAACAAACCGGACTTACCTGGAAACAAAAAAAATCGACGACAGGTTTCGTCGGAAGAGATTACCAATATCTTTCGGACCAAAATCTTTGATGCCCTTTGACCTATATCCTTATTCTAATAAGGGTTTGACCAGAGGAAAAAATAATTAATTTATTTAAAAAAATCGAAAATGGGTGTAAATACCTAACCACCCTTACTAAAACCTAAAAATTACAGATCTAACCACATAAAATCCGAAAACCCATTTCACTTTTGGATATCCATCGGATCTTTCACCCTTTTGTCTTCTTCATCGATTGAAAAATCATAAAACTCTCAAATCCTAAGTGTTTGAAAAAATCAAAAATCACAAGCAGTTCGTCGAGTACAACTAAGGACAACTTGATTCTGGGTAAGTCAAAATCAATGATTCTTTGGCTATTTTATGTTAGATCCGCTTGGATGTTGTCGATTTAGGTGTTTTCGATTTGTTAATCTAATTTGGGGTTGTTGATTTTGTTTATTACTCAAGTGTGTTGTTAATTTGCGGTTATTTATTTTGTGTGAAGGATAAGAGAATGGTGCGTACAAAGAACACAAGCTTTAACAAAGAATCAGATCTAGTAGGTGAAATCGAAAAGGCAACAGATGCAATCGTAGAAGAAAATAGGACTCGTGGAGATGATTATGAAGAAACAGATTCAAATCCGAAATCAAATTCTGGGGATTCAACGATATGTACAACTTGGATAGAATAGTACAACTTGTGCGACCTCGGCATAGCTAGTTTATTTTCACTAAGAAATTGATTTATTTTATGTTGTGTTTTTGAATCATATTATATGTGAACTCTTTAGATATGTTTGTGGTTTGTTGTTTTTTTTTTTTGGATTGGTGTGTCTTTGAACTATTATGGTTTAGCTTAATGTTGTTTGTTAAGTTTCTGAGTCCATTTATAGGTAAACTAGGTACAACTGCATTGAAAAGATCAACTTGGTATAACTAGATACGAGTTGTACTATTACAAAATACAAGATTTACAACAATACAATACAATCCAAATACACGAATTAACTTCAAATTGCCAACAAAGTTAAGCCAATAGGGAAAATTACATTCATATCGTACGATAAGAAAAAGTTATACATAGTTGTACAATTACGAAGAACAGGTTATACTTAGTTGTACCATTACGAAGAACAAGTTATACTTAGTTGTACTACGAAGAACAAGTTATACTTTATTGTACGATATTCCCAGTCCTATCACAAGAAGAGAACCACAGAAATCCCACATAAGATTCCCGATGCTCCAGATTCGCAGCTCATTCTCATAAATAGCAAACCCAAAATAAAAGACGAAATCGCACCAACCCAGAAAGAAAGAAGGAGAAGAAGTGAAGAGAGTAAAAGGACAGTAAACCCTAGCTATACCCGATTCCCGATTCCCTTTTTGAATTTCAATAAAAATAAAAAAATAAAATAAAAAGACCAAACAACAAACACGTGATCCACATTAGACACGTGTAGCCGCCAAAATGCACTAGTTGTACCAAAGTTACAAGTTGTACTCGTTTTGGCAAGTTGTACTTTTTTATTTTTTTGTTCTAATTAGTTATACAATGTTTAAAAGAAATATTTTTAGTTGTACACATGATTTTAATTAATTGAGGTACATATACCACATGTACATGCATAAATATTTTTGAAAACATTTGTTTCTTAGCTTTTCTAATTATATGTTGTTTGCAATGAGAAAGTGACCCTTAATGTGTAAGGTATTTTTTGATAAACTTAGAATATGATGATATCTATAGTGAAATATAATAATAAAAATCATGATTCCTTATTTTATATATATATTGGATAACATGATGAAATTATTATTCAGTTCATATATATATTTATTAGGTTTTCTATATTTAATTCCAATTCATGTTTATTAAAAATTCAAATAAATCCTGATTATTTGATTAAATAAAATAAATCCTTATTTTAAATTATTTAAATATTTTTTAAATATAAGAATATAGATTTTTATTTAAATATATATATCAATTTAAATATCATTAAAACAAGTTGACTTAAGAAAGTCTGAAAATCAGATTCAAATTATTCAAGTTGTACCATAACAAAAACAAGTTGTACATAATTTTTCAAATAGGATATTACATCAAAATACAATCAATCAACTTCGGGAACCCTGACTCTCAAACTAGCTTGCGATGGTAGATTTCTTCTTTCTGCGTCCATGTTCTCCACTGCAGAATCTGTCTCCATTCTAAGAGATTGATGAACTTTATCTCTTGAATTCCACCAAAGAGTACCATTTGTACTACAAGTTTTATCATTATAGTTATACCAAGTTGTGCCCAAATAGTTATACCAAGTTCTACCAGTTGTACTACAACGCATACTACTGATTTTCGAATACATTCCTACGATTCAATTCGATTGAACTGTTACAATGCACACATTATGAAAAATAGTCGACCCAATTCGACTCATATCCCTAATTGACAATGAGGATAAGAAAAATCGGATCAAATCCAAATCTACAATGTTAATAGTTCAATAGGGAACAAATAAAATCCACAACAACTCTACTTCATGCCAACGAGTTTTGAATTTAACAATAGATATGAATAAGTGTATTACCTCAGTTGTTGGGTTGCTTCTCGTGTTGATGAGAGAGACGATGGAGTTAAACGGAGGAGGAGCTCGTCGATGGAGGATTGGGTCCGATGGTGGAGAGGGATGTGGTTGAAGAAGAGAGAAGATGATGGTGGAGTGGGGTCCGCGTCCATTTTCTTTTTCCTTTTTTATTTAAATTAAATCAATCAATAAGAGGGGTAAAATATGTCCTTTATTTAGTCAATATAAGTTAAGGGGTACTTAGAACATAGAAGGGTAGGAGAGTATATAGATTGTGTTCAAAGGGCACAGCAGATTTTAGTCCTTGTTCTCTCTTAAGAGGAAGCTCTAGTCACTAATTAAGTAATGTATAATTGCAATTAACTCGTTAAAGTTTGTATGTAACAAAAGTTTAAACTGTGCATGTCAAACAAAAATAATATTTTTTTTTAAACTGTCTACTTTTGGCAATTATTTTTGAAAAACGGTCAATTATCTGAATATACCCTAAAATTTTAATACAGCAGTCGGAAAAGAAAAAGAAAAGAAATTCAATAATTCATTTTCAAAAACACAGTTACTGAAATTCAAAAATTCTCCTCAAAAACTTGGCTTCTAATAATTCTCCCCCAAACTAGGGTTTACAAATCCGAGATTGTAAAAAAATGGAAGGCAGCAAAAGCGAAGCAGTGTTCGATTCAATGGATCTAAACCCTCAGCTTTTCATCAACGAAACCATCAACTCCATCGACTATTACCTCGACTCAGCCTTCGACTTCTATGCCCAGTTTCGTCAATCACTCTCTTACCCTCTCTCTCTCTCTCTCTCTATCCCCAAGCTTTTTTCTAATTAAGGGTTCTTACATTGTGCAGTGAAGCATCAAAATTTATCAAAATCAATGGATCTGATACAACAAAGTCCCAAGATTTATCAAACGTGAGTTGATTTCATATGATTTCTTTGTTCTGGCTAAGTTTTTTTTTTCTTACTCTTTGTCGCATTTTAGGGTATTGAACGTGTTCGTGGGTTGATTCAATCTGTTATGGACAAACGTATGGAGTTGTGGGAAGGTTATTGTGTTAAGTTCTGTTTTGCTGTTCCTGATGGGTTTGTTTTGCCCAAAAGTGTGAGTCTTTTATCTCCTTTTTTATTGTCTCTGTCTTGTTATCTCAGTATTTGTACTATTTGATTTGCTGAATCGTTTACTGTTCAATCAGGACGAGGAGGTTCCTGTTTACTCTGACCAGGGTAGACAAGATGGGTTATTATATGAGCAAGAGTTGGATTCACAATTGGATTCTTTAAGGCTTAAGCTTAGTTTGGTGAGACAAAACAGTTTTATGTGTTATACTTTTGATGTTTGGTCTTTTACATATTTGTGTCTTTTTGTTTTTTAAAGTGAGATGCGTTTGTTTTAGGTAGGAAAGAGGTCTGATGAACTCAACTCCGAGCTCCAGGCTTTGGAAAGGATTTCGGTGTCGAGGGAACGGTCTGTGAGGCTTGTTAATGAGGCTTTGGAGATTTATGATGAGTCTTCTGTTGATGAAATGTTCAAAGGTAATCCAGATGCGAACTTTATTTAGTCATTGAGATTTCTCAGTTCACTTCAATGGAATGAGTTTGATATGTTATATATATATTAGTTCTTGATGATCCTGCAACTGTTCTCCACTTAGCTTGTTAGTCATGAACATGACCAAAACGACATTTTGTACACTGCTAGCTAGTAATTTGAGTAATGTCTTGGTCTCACTTGTTTAGCCATTGGTATATTGAGGTCTCTTGATTCATTTTAATGGAATGAGTTGGTTATGTTATATATATATATTAGTTTTTGATGACCCTGATAACTGTTCTCTACTTAGCGTGTTAGTCATGAACACGACCAAATCGACATTATAATTCGCTTCTAGCTAGTATTTTGAGTAATGTCCTGCTCACTTAGATTGTAGATATGAAATCTCCTTAGTCCTTACCATCTTCTGGAGATATATTTCTGAACGTTTTTTGATGGGATTTACCTGATCTCGTTTATGATCTTATTATTTGGCATGTATTACCAGGTAGAGTTAGTCCATACATTTCTTTTCTCATGGAAACCGTTGTTTGATTGTTTCTAGCATATGATTAAGAGAGACTCTCATCTCAAATATTCGTTTTCTGCAGAGATGGCGAAAGTTGCATCTGAACTTCGTGCAGGGGTTGATAGACTGAAAACAAAAAGAATGAAAGCCAGTGAAAGCGCTAAAGTGGAGAGACTAAAGAACCATGGCAAAGAGTTTTCGGCAATGACTTTTGGTAACAAATTATAACATTGTGATGATATTACATAGTTATAATACTAAATGTTACCTGCTTATGATCTTCCTTAATGTTATGTGGTTCTCAGATGGAAAGCTTGAAGACCTCGAAAAGTTTCAGGCCGAGTTAAGGAAGATGTAAAAAAACCTTTGCAGGAAAACAAATTATGGTTTGTCAAAGATAATGGCTCTTAACTTGAATCTTTTTGTAAATGACTAACTTGGCATCTGCTCTTTAAAGACTACGTTGCTTTTAGGCTTACCAAAGTACCAAACAGTAACTTCTCCTGTTGTGTTCTAACTTACGAAATTACACCAAAACCAAAATATTAGGACAGAAAGAACCGAAGCTTTTCCTAGATAGCTCGACTCATAACATTCAACCAATTTGAAACGTACTCTAGACAAATGGTTTTGACTCTTGGGCAGTGTTTGCTAAGTGTTCAACTCGTTTCGATGCAACAACAAGATGTTATTGGTAACAACGATCAATTTTAATAAAGAAAAGAAGATGTCTATAGATCTTAAACATAACACTTATATCCTTGATGTAATTCAAACCCCAGAAACTTATATTAGAACATGAGAAAAAAACTAGTACTGTCCCAAAAAAAAGAACCATCCGCCGCATTGGGTACAAACCAGAAGGCAAAAAGGCTTTCTATGCAACTGGCATTGCTGGATAATCTGTGGTTGTTAATGGGGCTTCTGGCTGAAGAGCAGCCTGAGGAACAACCTGAGCAGGGGCGATGTGAACTTCTTCATCCTTTGGTGCATGGATGATCACAACATCAGGCAATGGTGTCTTAGGTCCTTGAATTCCCTTGGGGTCCCAGTCAAGCATGATCTTCACCTTGAGACCTAACACACCCTGCACATACGATTAACCAGACTCGGGTTACACAAGAGCTTTCTAGATATAATGTTGTTCAAGCAACAGGTTTCCGTGTTATATGTTTCTCATTACTAAGAAAGTTCAGACACTCAGAAGAACTGACCTGTCTAAGAAGAACATGCCTCACTGCAGAATCAATGTACTCCTTGGTTGGCTGACCTGAGGAAACCATGTAACCATCCATGAACTTCATCGACTTAGCACGTGCAGCACGGAGTTTTCCACTCACAATGACCTGCAAGCATTTGGTAAAACGATAAGAACACTGTAGAGGTATAGTAGACGAAAACGACAACAGTAAAGGTTTTACTCACTTCGCATCCTTTGGCTCCACTCTCCATAACAAACCTCAAAACACCATAGCAGGCCCTATAGAATAAAATATCACAGCAGTATTAACATTATAAGCTGAAGAGATGAATACATCAAAATCATATGTAGGATACTAATATCAAATTTAATAAACTGCGCTTGACAGGTTCAAGGACTTGAACACCTAAACAACTAGTTCAAAACGAATACTTATAGTGATAATCACAGGCAGTAAACAAAATTAACTCACTATACTACTTCTACAGGACGCAGCCAACACCTAGTCCAATACTGATGAACGGTCAGCAGCAAAACATGTTTACCAATACACAATATTCAAAACACAGTTTGTAAAACAATATTAGCTTAACTACACTAACATATAACCTACACACTATACCAAATAGTTAACACCAATTTGCCTCATACTCTAAGCCACATAGAAAAAGACATTAAACTGATACAAGATACTTCAATACATAAACAGATTCTTAGGCAGCAATCTGAATCAGTTAGCTAACAAATCAACACCTCAATGTTAGCTATAAAAGGATGCAGAAACGTGTCATACCTACGAACAGCAAGACCACCAAGAAGCTTGTAACGTAGAGACTCAGCCTGGGCAATAGCACAGAGACCTCTGTTGGTAACCTTCTCAGCATAAAGCTCAACACTGTCCTGAGGAAATTTGAATCTCTTCTGTACAAGAGATGTCAGCTCCCTAATCCTCCTGCCCTTCTCACCTAAAAGGAAACAGAGAATCATCATATCAATACCAAACTGATAGAAAAATCCAAATCTAAGCAAAGATTAAACGAAAATGAAGCAACATACCGAGAACGTTTTGAGTACGAGTGGCTCTAATGATGATCTCAGTACGCATAGGAGTGACACGAACCTCAACACCAGAGTAACCATCCTCAGCAAGCTCTCTGGTCAAAACCTCATTGAGCTCAGCGTAGAACACACCATCGGCTACGAACTACAAAAAAAATCAAAAACACATTTCAGTGTGAAGCTCAAAAACGATACACTGGTATATAGGAAGAGAAGGGTTGGATAAAGATTTCACCTTTCTCTTCTTGCTGATCTGGGTCGCCATGTTTGTCGCAAAGCTTCGGGTGGCTAGAGACTAAAACCCTAATTTCGGAGATGAGTGAAAGGAGTGAAATGATAAAATTTTGAGGATATATAAAGTCAAGAAGCAAAGCCCGGCCTTTTTAGGCCCATTTGTCTCGACCTTTATAGGCCCATTTATATGAAAACCAATGAGAAAGGAATAAAAATCAAATACTGTATGTAAATGATAGGTAACAAATATGTTTGTTGACAAAAAGAAAAAGCAATAAAAGTATAATTTATGTTGTAAATGTCAAGAGGTAATGTAAGAAAAATATGGTTAAATCAAAATTACAATATTATTTTTTGCGGATTCTATCATCACTATTCGCATAATAATTTACTTGGTTATCTCTTATATAAACGATACAATTCGATCGATGTAATTCACAATTTCATAACTCAAAGAAATAAAATATTTTGATGACAAAAAAAAAGAAGTATAATATTTATTTCTCGTTTCTTTTTTATTATTTACCGTCCCGTCTGAAGATATTAATAGGGAAAATTCCTAAAAAAACGTGCCCTATTTAATATTTGCCAGAAAAATACATGAACATTTTTCGTTGCCAGAAAAATACCAAACTAATTTATAGATGATAAAAAATACGTGAACTATTTCGATTTTCAGTTTCCCACATATTATGGTCACGATTTTCAACAAAACTAAGACAACATTAAACATTGTTACTATTACAATCTCGTGAAGAAGTTTCGTTCTTATCGTAGTCATAATCATAACAATATCTCTCTTTCTTTATATTTTAGCTCTATCTTCAATCTTTGTTTTCTTATAGTTAAGTTCTTGTTATGATTAGAAATTTAGGAAAAATGAAAAATAGGCAAACGATGTTTATGATTGTGTTAGTTTTGTTGAAAATCGTGATCATTATATGTGGGAAACTGGAAAATCGAAATAGTTCACGTATTTTTTATCATCTATAAATTAGTTTACGTATTTTCTGACAACGAAAAAATTTCATGCGTTTTTCTGGCAAATATTAAATAATTCATGTGTTTTTTGGGAATTTTCCCGATATTAATATGACTCTATTTTTTATATTTATATCCACCGTAAAACCAAACATTTATTTATAAAAATAAAAATTTATTTATATAAAAAACATTTTATTAATAGAAATTTAAAATATTTGTTTATTTAGATTAGTAATTCTAGGTTATGTCCTTTATATTTTTTGAACTAACTCCTAGCTAGCTTAGATCCTAAGTTCAATTGCTATTAGGCCATCTTGCTTGTGTTTCTGTTGTACATGTAAGATTCATATAAATTATCAACAAGAGTATAATGACATTATAACCGACTTTTCCCTATCGAAATGGAATAATGTAATATTTTTGTATTTATCTGAAAAATAAAACACTTTTCACATTTGCCTTATAAAAAAAAAAAAAATTGTTTCTAGATGTTATAATTCATAGTTAAAATCATCCGTAGAATTGATTTCACCAAATCTAATTAGTTTATTATTACATGGTGAGAAATTAAAAAGCATTAAAATTTCCAAAGTATGTGTGTGTGACAGAGGTTTTTGAAAGCGACTAGTGTACGGGCATTGCAACAACTCCCCTATAAAGAGATCACTCAGGGCTAAACACAAAAACAGAATCTAATTCGCAACACAACACTAAAGACAACATTGTACCAACCACAAGAGAGAGAATGGGAAAGAGAGGAACTAGTACTACTGTCAAGAGAGAAGAGTTAAACAGAGGAGCTTGGACTGATCATGAAGACAAGATCCTTAGAGATTACATCACTACTCATGGTGAAGGCAAGTGGAGTATTCTCCCTAACCAAGCTGGTACAAATCTATGAATCTATCTCTATGTGTATATGTCGTTACATCCTTCTATGTATAATTGTGTGTTTTGCATAACATAATAGGGCTGAAGAGGTGTGGCAAAAGCTGTAGACTCAGGTGGAAGAACTACTTAAGACCGGGGATAAAGCGCGGAAACATCTCATCTGATGAAGAAGAACTCATAATCCGTCTTCATAATCTTCTCGGAAACAGGTTTTTAATTCCATCAAATTGAACTTTCCTTTTTTTGTAGTAGAGTTATTTGGTAACGTGACATGTATGGTAATGAATGTAGATGGTCTTTGATAGCTGGGAGGCTTCCAGGCCGAACAGACAATGAAATAAAGAACCATTGGAACTCAAACCTACGCAAAAGACTTCCGAAAACTCAAACAAACCAACCGAAACGTACTAAAAATTCGATCAAGAACGAGAACAATGTCTGCGTTATACGTACAAAGGCGATTAGGTGCTCAAAGTCTCTTCTCTTCTCGGATCTATCTCTTCAGAAACAGACTAGTATCATCAGTCCAGTTCTTTTGAAAGATCAAGATATGGAACAAGGCGGTTCGTCTTCCTTGATGGGAGACCTCGAATTCGATTTCGATAAGATCCAGTCGGAGTTTCTCTTCCCGGACTTGATGGATTTTGATGGTTTGGACTGTGGAAACGTAACATCTCTTGTTTCATCTAATGAGATTTTGGGAGATTTGGTTCCTCATGGTCAAGGTAATCTCGATCTCAATAGACCTTTCACTTCTTATCATCATCAACATGGCGACGATGAAGATTGGCTCGGAGACTTCAACTGTTGATCAATCTTACCGCAAAAGAAAAAAAAATCTACGATTAAACGAATAATATACAGACAAAAGTATATGTGTACGTACTTGTCTGAACTCTTCTAATTTTCTAACTTACTAAGTGGGTTTTGTCTTTAAACGAATAAGTTATATATTACTGCAAAATACATACGACTTATTTAGTTATGAAAGATTTTATTTTGATTAATTAGTTTATGAATTGAGCCAATGATAGAGCTTTTATTAGAGTCTAACAACCGCGTAACCACCACCCTACCCATAAATATCTACTTGCGTTAATGTTATAAGATTGGTAATACGAATCCAAGTTTACAATTTTGTATAAACGAAATTTTCACTTTAATTGTATACAAAGTACATAGTCTATTTATAGGCAGGCAAAGTCATAAATGTAAAAGAACTTGTTCTTTTCATTTATGGAATCATCGTATAAATACAAATTCGTATTAGATGATTGTTCTAAGGACTTAGGCTGGCCTGCCCCCACCACCGCCTCATCCTCCAAACCCTCCTTTCAATAGTGTAGTCAGTCTCACTTGGGAAGGGTTCCTCAACTCCGCCTGAAACACCTCAAGAGTCTCTGCACTCGGGCTTGCTATCCCTCCATGGCTTGTCCTACATACACAATAAAACGGTTAAATTCCGCATCATACTCCCAAATCTACCGGCTCCCCTAAGCCAGCTCCAAAAGAAGTCTCTCCAACCGGTCTAATGCCTCCGGGAGAAAGCCGTATGGCGTTAAACTCCGCCACAAAGTCCACCCAGCTCATAAGCTTTATGTTTTCAAATTTTTTTCATTGTAATTTCATTCTATATATAATTGATTTTAGGCTTTGATTGGTAGCAGATGTAGGTTCTTTTCACAGCAGTTTTTGGGTCCATGGCACTTTTTTTACAGCAATGGTACTTTACATTTATTTTTCTAGTCTACAGCCACTTTAATATATTTTCCTTTTTTTGGGCTGTAGAAATGCTAAAAGATACAGCAGTAAGTTTTGGGCTAAAGAAGGCTGTAAAGACATTTATTTAAGTTATTTATAAAAAAAATATTAATGAGAAACCCTAGTATAAAATATAAAAATATTTTTTGTAGGTAGATGTGAACATATTATTATTATTATTATTATTATTATTATTATTATTATTATTATTATTATTATTATTATTATAATTAGGGACAAATTAATCTATATACATAGAAGACCAATTTATTAGATTTCTAACACTAGTTTTTGTTTAATTAGTTCTCTCTCTTCTCTCTATTTTAATGACAAAAGTAACCTTACCACACTTCCACAAAAAATAGAAAAATGATAAATTATATAACATTTAACTGCATTGTTATATGTTAACGAGTAACAAATATAGATACAACACTATTCACCAACGATATAAAAAAATATTTTGTAATTTTTCGTATATAACTATTTTGTTAACGCATCAATTTATATTTTATATTTTATAAATATGGATAACTATATAATTACTGAGTTGAAAATATATTTAACATGATAAATTATACACTACACCTTATGAATATAAATAACGATCAAATTTTGGAAATTGTTCATCCGAAATCGATGACACAATTCACCTTACGTATAGTAGAACATTTTTGTGATTTTAGTGTTAAACTTAATATGCTAAATAATTTATATACAATATAAATCATTTTGGATCGCAATAAAATTACAAGTTATATGGTAAGTTTGGAATTATTGTGTTAAATAATTTATTATCGTGTTGAATCATTGTATCATATTGTAGAAATTGAAAACATATGACGTGTATATGTTGGATAAAACATTGAGTATAATTTATAGATATTTATTTTGTTATCTCGCTAAACTATTTGTTACCATATATAGGGGTATTTTTTGTCAAATTTAAGTAGCTATGAGAGAGAATTAATTAAAAGAAAACTAATGTCAAATACTTAATTTTTCATTCTATTGTGTACATAAAGTGGTATTTCCCTTCTTATTGTAGGAGAACTCATTTTGTAGCCTAATTCATTTTGGTGTGGTTGTCATACTCCAATGAATGAGTGTAGGTCCAAATCGGGTAAGTTGTAAATTGAATGACTCCTTCGTTTTAAACTCATATTGGGTTGATTCTTCTTTTTAGATGACTTGAGATTAAGTGGTTTCCTACGCTAAATCTCGGTTGTTGAGTTGACATGGTTCAAACAATGAACATATGTTTTTGTCCAGTCTGATTTTCATAGTACTACTTCCTGTTTTAATAAGTTTTGGTTCAGTTGCTGGTTTGATGACCGCATTATTCTTGGTTTGGTACCTTCTTGTTTCATCCTCATTCTTTAATATAAAGTTCAGGTATTAAAAAAAAAACGCTGAATGTAACTAAGATTAATTTCCATTTTAATTTTTGAACTAAAATAAATAATTGCAACAAAAAGTACTAATAATTAATATTTAGTTTTTATTTAAAAAAATAACATCACATCAATTAAAATTAATAATTAATGAGATAATAAGGTATAATTAGAATTTTGTTTTAGTTTTGAGACCATGGGTATACAGTAAAACCTCTATAAATTAATACTCTATAAATTAATAAACACTATAAATTAATAATTTTTGTTGGTCCCAAGTCGGGCCAATGTAAAAATTGAATAATTTCGATAAGATAATAAAATAATAATTATTTTGACATTCCAATGTAAAATATAGTCCCAATAATATCAATAAATAATAATCACTCTATATACATATAAGTAGATATATTAATATATTTTTTTAGTTTTTTTTTTTAAAGATGAATTTTCTCCTAGAGTTCACCTCAATAAATAATTTTATATTAGTACTTTTTTAAAAACAATAATCTTGTAATATATACCATCACAAGTCATAATAATAACCAAATTTTCTTTATGTTTTCAATTTTTAAATATGCATCATATTCATTTTTAACATATAGGATGTTAAAGTATAACAATTGAGGTTATTAATATAGATTTGAATTTATGTATATCATTTGTGTAAGTGAATTTATGTATAATATTTGTGTTTATAGTCAAATTTCTTTTTTCTAAATATAAGATTTACTTTTAAAATACTGTATAATTTATAAAATTTAAATAACAAAACTGTAGGTTAATTTATTTGATATATATATATATAATTGTTTTTTTTGTTTGAATATGCTAAATTTTTCTCTTTGTGTAAGCTATTTTAGTACAAGTTTCAACCTCCAAAACAGATTAGGAACAATAATTTAAAGAAACAAAATGGTGTTGTTAGAACTTCGTAACTTCAAAACTAGATTTGTTTAATTTTAGTTGCTTTTTGTGTTACACGCTAACTATGGGTGAACATTCCTTTGGAGCTCCTCATGACGCAATATGACGAATAATCAGTACATATATCTCTCATAATAAGCTCACGTTCAACCATTGTAAAACTGAAATTACTTTTCCTTAATTGATGCACACCTAGTGCACTGTAAATCTTCTCATCTTATTATTGTATTTAAAGCCTTTGTCGCCAAATTGCTCGATCTATTGCTTTGTTGCTTTGTTACAGTATCACATTATATTCTAGGTTTCGAGAAGAAATTAACCTTTTTTCTTTTGAATTTTATGTTGTCCCAAACACTTTATAGGGAACAAAATTAAAGAATGGAGGAATATTATCATGATAGATTTCATAAGTTGCTGATGAGAGTCTATAGAATCGTCCTCACACTCAAACATTAGGTTGATGCTGAATTACTACATTAGAAAGTACTATATATGCATGAAATTTCAGAGGAAGAGATGTGTTAAGGAGAAAAATGAGTGTGTTTTTTGTTACTACATTTTACTCATACATTTAAGCTTATAGAGAAATGAGTAATGCATAATATCTTGATGAATGTCTAAACTTGTTAGTATATATTTTCATATTGATAATCTCTTTCATTTTGAACTCATCTGGAAAAAGTGTATTTGTTTTGATATTAAATTGCATGTTTAAATTAATATGTGCATTTTCAATGGAAAAAGTTTTGAGATTAAACATCCAAATAAAAAATAAACAGTTTTTAATGATTTTTTTTCTAAACAATATTCCAGTTTTAGCCTCGGTTATTTTAATTTCCCATAAAGTTTAAAAGGATGTTAGAAACATGTTTGGATGTACAAGAGCACACTCGTGTCTCATGTAAAGCTTAAACTTGTCTAGTCCATGGTAAAATAAACTAGAGGAAAAATTGTTTATCATATCATAATTAAAATTAAGCATGAACCATAGTTTGATTGGACCTAATTGGTTATGGTTGTACTTTTAGATTTTTTTTATAAAGATTTTAGGTTGTAGATGTTTTAGATGAATCATAGAATTTAGTGTTGTAATAATTTGGCTGTGGAATTTAAAATTTTGGAAAGCGTTAAATTGTGTGCTTCAGAAAAATGTTTTCTACGTAAAAAAAAACATAAATTAAGAAAAATGTTTTGGTTGTGGGTAAAAAGAAAAAAGCCAAAATTTCTATAGCATTGTTTTTTTTCTTAAAGTTTTTTGATAGCATTGTTAACTATATTGTTATACAAAAAAAAATAACACAAGATAATAGTATGACCATTGTATAGAATTTATTACTTTCGTGTCTACCAATTAACCTAAGATCAGATTCTATGTTGTTTTCACTACTACAATCTAGATGAAGAACTCTATTTCTTCAATCCTAACAATCTAACAACCTAACAATTCATGAATTCCTTTGAAAACCCTAAACCTAACAAGAAATCTACTAAGACATGGTGAATGAAACAAACATCATGAATAAAATAGATATCATTAAGAAATCAATAAAAGAAGTAAAGGAGTTCTGAATCCTCTTCTGAAGGAGGTTTTGATTCTTCTCTCGCAGCTCTCTAAAAATCTCTCTCTCAAAAATAAAGCTTCAGTCTTAACAAAACCCTGAAACTCAATATATATGTCTAAACCACGAACTGGGCTTAATTGCAAATAAGGAAAACTTTTGGGCCGAATCTGCAAATCTTCTGAACTTCAATTAAGCCCGAAATTCAATTGCCGTCTGATATTGGTGTCGCTTGACACCAGGTGTTGTGTCGATCGACACTCACGCCAAATATGCTCTCCCGCTATCTTCTTTCGGCACATCTTCTCCAAATGCTCCAAAAAGCTCCAATTGATGCCAAATATCTCCTAATCCTGAAATGACTCAAAAAGACTCAAAAATACTATAATAACTCTACTTAAAGACTTATATCATGGCCAAAAACGTGTAAAAACCATGATATAACACAAATACATAGTCGATAGCACTTCTATTGCGCGGTATTATGTTCTCATCAGTAATGCGTATACATGTAGTCTTCCTACAACTTTTGGATAAAGGAAAGAACTAGATATGTATGGATGGAGAAGAGTTGATTTCCACGAATAAATGTTTGCATCATATCAGAAAAGCCATATATAAGCAATGTTTAGTCCTTCTGGAAATTATTTGAATAGGAAGCATCTAATAAGTATGCAAAGGATTCTTATGATTTTTAACTTGTACGTAGTTGTACATAAAATTTAAACTATGACCAGTGACCACTATTCGCTGTTACTAGACAATGCATTAGGAGAAGCAAATTAGAGAGGAAATGAGGAAAATGAATTAAGCACCTCAATACCTCCACGGAAGCAAATTGAATGAAGATCCTTGTATTTAATTCGAGGCGGCTTATCGGGAGGGTACACAAGTAAGACCTGAAAGTAAAGTAAATGCTTAGACTCGACATTTTGCAGATGAAAAAATTGTAGAAAAGATGTTACTTCACCTGTGGTTTGAGACTGGGTTCTACACAAGAATGATTTTGAGATACCAGTGCACTTTGTAATTGTCCAAAAGAACCTTTAGATTTTTGTGCAATGTACTGCCTCTCAAGTGCTTGAATATCACAATTAGGATGAAGTCCAACCACAACAAGGCTTTCAAAAAGCCTTGATGGATCTTTTAGTGGTTTATTATAGAGATAAGTTAGTGACAAAAACGTTTACCATAGTTGCTTATTGATTAAATAAATAAGTAGTTTAACATGTACCAAATACTGCACATGAAATTTTGCCCATTGATGCTTTTGGTTCATCAAAACCTCAAGATTGTACACAACACTCTTGGTTTTAGGAGTTTCATAAAAAAATTTAACAGCTTTCTACACCTGCCTTTGTATCCTTTCCAGAGGGGTATCACTACCTTCATCTTTTGACGAAAAGAAAACATAAGGTTTGGCAGCTTTATTGCAGAGGCCGCAATAGCAAAAGTCATAGCGACATTATCTAAGGTCGGGATGAAAGACGAAGCACCCCAGCTCGGACTACCATTTCCTTCCTCATTCTTGGCCATCACTTAATAGAGTACAAGACAATAACCATTGCTAGTAACAACAAAAATTGAGTATAAAAACCAATAAATAGTGATGTCACTTATGACTCTTGCCTAGGAAACAATATTTCTCACAAAAGAGAGATCAAAACTAGTAAAAGATCATGCTTAAGATTAGAGCAAACAAAATACATAATAGAAGATAACTCAAATTGGGAAAAAAAATTTTTTCCCCAAGTACTGAAAGACAGTGATAATACAAAGAATAATATGATCCTCCTAGAATCGACACTCTTGAAGTTGAGGGAAGGATAGGCTTTGCGCCTAAGGGATCGTGAGATCACTTAGACCAAAGGATGTGGAGCGAATGGTCGTACAAAAGTTGCGGAAGAGCCTTTGATTTACCGAACTTGGACTTGCCTATGGATATTACACACCAAAGAAAGAACAAGAGAGAGTGATCTAAATTGAAAGAGTTTTTGATAAAAAAAGATTAGATCCGTTACAAATGAGAGGTAGATGGGGATTATATAGTAGAGGAAGATGAAGGAGAAGAGGGAAGAGAAGAAGAACATGCAAGAGCATGCACAAGTGTCTTGGAAATACACTCATGCAAGTCCATGCACCAAGTCTTCGAAATTACAAAAGCAATAAATGCAACAATGAAGAGAAAAGATAGAAAATGGGCAAGGCAAAGTGATGGGCCTTGGACCCACAAATTGGGCTTGGTAAATGACCTTGGAAGTGTAACTTAGGCCTCATTAAAAACTTTTCCAAGAAAACCCAAGGGGACAAAACTTGACAAGGGAAAAAGAGTGCAGAAGCAACACTTATCCCTTTACCGAACCCCTTGAGCCGTGATGATCATTGAGGAGATTTGAACTAAAACCATGGCGGTTTGATTAGCTTCTTTATAATCACTTCCTCAGCTACAAGCTCATCCTCGGGTATGAGATTCTCCTTGGGTACGAGCTGCTCCCTGGCTACGAGCTGCTCCTCTTCTGCGGCTCCCTGGCTACGAGCTGCTCCTCTTCTACGGATTGTTCCTTGGCTACGAGCTCCAGGTTTTGTTCGGCGATAGTCATATCATGCCCTCCGTCTTGAAAAGGATTTGTCTTCAAATCCGTTTCATCTGCAAGAAAAGGAGATAAATTAGAAACTTTGAAGCTTGCACTTATTTTTTTATTAATAAAGCGTAATTATATAAAAGCCATGACCCTAGAGTCATACAGTTTTTACAGCAGGAAAATAATACAGACATATGCCAATATTACAAGTAAAATAGAGATGGTAACCAAATCTTCCGCTTTGGTTGGCTTCCTAGAAAAACACCAGAGAAAAACTAGCTTTGTTCATGGTTCCCGCGTCCGCGATTCCCGCGTCCACGATTCCCACATCCCCGATTACCTCTTCCTCGGGCAACAGAAGATTCTAGTATCTCCTTAGCTTTGATGGACAATTGAACCGGTCGTTCACGTAAAATTCGTTTCCCAGATGGAGTTAGTTGATCCATTATTCTCGACTCACTGTCAGAACTATCAGATTCAACCGAATCACTATCTGACTCAACGGAAGCTCCATCTGAAAATGAAGACCCCAAATGGCTAAACCTGTTTTCAGTCAGGACATTTCTTACCTCACGTTCACTAAGAACCACATGATCTCGTGAGCCTGCAAGTTCAGTTTCTGTTGCATCTATGCTAATAACCTCAGGTACAACTTCAGCTTCAACATTTGTGTGGCATTCGGCCACTCTGGTGCATTGATATATGACTTGATTTGGGCCAGCCTCAACTACTAGGGCTGTATCATTTTGGATTTTTGTGACTGTGGTAAGAGAAACTACTTGGGACTCAGTTTGAAAAGAGATTGGTGATACCAAAACAGTGGCATTAGAAATACTTTCGATAGCGGGAGTGGTAACCTCTTTTGAAGCCAGCTTGTTAACTTTTTCATTGGGTCGCATACAACGGGATGCCTTGTGTCCTAGCTGTCCACAATCTCCACATATAGATGGAACCCAAGCATATTCGACATTTACCATAGAAATGTTTCCTTTTTTGTCAGCTGCAGTAATCCTAGGAGGGAATGCTTTACTCAGCTCCACTTCCACCAATATCTTAGCCTCACCCATTAGTGAAGGATCAAGTCTTGGTTTATATGTAGCCATAGGAGCACCTAACCCTGATGCAATATGGCTAATTCCTGAAATTGAGTACAGCTTGTTTGGTATATTTTTAAGTGTTACCCAAACAGGAATGGTCGATATCTCTCCATATCAAATGTATCTACAGCAGACCAAGGAGCAACAAACATAAGACAATCATCAACATGCCATAATCCTCTTTGAAGAACCCAAGCTCTGGTTGAAGCATCCGGAATATGGAAGAGAAATTTAGAATTATCTAGCTTGCGCATAAAAATTCTACACTTCTTACCCCAAATTCTATTTATCACAGCATGAATTAAGCCACTAGGAGGAGGACTACATCTATAGAACTGACCTAGAACATATTCCTTCTGATTCTCAAGACCTTGCAACAAGACATGACTTGGAATTGTTACCTTTGGGGTACCGTCTTCCATATACTCCGGTGAGGTAGCTCTGTAAAGATTTCTTGCTGCCGGATCCATTTTAGCAGCCCAAGGAAATCTCAGATTATCTTCCTTTGATGATTTAGGAACGGCTGCCCTCAGACCAGGAACCGTGATTCCACTTGCAGCTTGTTGGGAGGCCGATGAAGAGATGAATTTTAGCTTCTTCGTCCAAGCTCCTTTTAGAGGTGGAGAATACAAATTAGCGGGATTTTGATTGACGATTACATCAACAACTTCCACGGGAGCAAATGGGGACTTGTTTGAAGACACTGGTTCATCCTCATCACTATCGGCCAATGTGACTACCTTCGCCGTTTTTGTCGGAGGAGAAGTGTTCATCTGTTTGGGTTCATCCCTTTGAGTGAGCGAATCCACCGGTGGAGTAGAATGAGCAGAGTCCATCGAGTTCCCAACAGCCATGATAGTGAGAGATTTTGCCGGTAATGAAGAATCGGGAGAAGAGGATGTGACGATATGGTTTACAACCTTTAAATCCAACGTCGACCAACGATGTTTGCTAGGCCATCGTGGATCTGGAGCTGTGGATTCTCAGCAGGCAAGGAGAGGCGATGCGGATCGTTGTTCAAGACTTGAAGAAGGAAGTAAACTGTCAGAATTTTTTCCGATTTTGGATCCTAAATCCATGTCGATTAAGACTCCAACTTGGTTTAATAGTTAGCTAGAGAAGAGACGAAGCCAAAGATGGTGTTCGTGAGTGAAGACGCGCCGGAGCGACGCCTATGTGGGAAGAGCAAGCTTCGTGAAGGTTTTTTTTCTTCAGGCGCCGGTAGAGAGAGAAAAAGGGGGTTTTTTATGAAGCTTGAACTTAGATTATACTTACCTCGAAGATCAAATTGATAGGAATTCTCATTGATCCATTTTGTGATGGTGATTGGTCCATAATCGATTGGATTATCGAAGTCCTTCATTTTCCTTGACTTTGAATCCTTAACCGATTGTTTGAAAATAGATAGATGAAAAAGATATTTTTGAAAAGGGGTACACCAAAAGGATTAATCTCAAAAATTCTCAAATAAGATATGCATTTTTAAAGCAATTTTTAACAAAACGTTACCATCGTATAGTTAAAATTTTCTTTTAAAAATGAAAATTTTGTTTGCTCTTCTCTTATTTTTAGTATATCATCAAACAATTGTTGAGTTGCTTTTACCTTCCGAATTTGCATTTTTTTCATTTTGATACTTTTATAAGTTGTTCAAATGTGACATTTATAAAGTAGTTAATCATAAATTTATTTATTTTAACATCTAACAAATGCATTAATATCGTAAAAAGATTATATATTCGTTACAAAAGCTTCGAAAGCACATTATTACATAAGCAGAAATATGCGCCATATACTAAAGACGATAGAAACTAAGGATTGAATTTGACTATTTAAACCGTTATTTTTCTCCTTTGTAATCGATCTTCATACGAAAGTTGTGCGTGTCTAACTTTCTTTGTAGAAACACCAAATTTCACATCGTATTACAAAACTCAATGCTTTCGTTGATAGCTCTGAACAAGCAACAATCTAATACCAATTAGTCCGTCTCAGTGTCATTTTAGGAAACAGTGACCTTGATTTTCTCTTGATACGATCCCAGAAAACCATTAACCTGTCTGAAATCTCTTCGTTGACCCTAATCCAAAGTGGATCTCCTTTTCTCAAATTGGATAGATCCAAATAAGAGACTACGCCTCTTGGATGTTTCTATGGTGAAACAACAAACACCGCTCCATGGCGGAAAGAAGCCGACACAAAAAATCTTGGACTGATGCCAGATTACGGTCGGAATTTATCATCATAAATTTAAATATTCAGTATCATTTGCATAAATTCATAAATCCATATTTTTATTATTTTCCATCAAATAATTTTTAAAAAATTAATATGGAACTAAGAAAATTATAACATCAAAAATACTAATATTAGTTAGATCAAACTATCAAACCTCATATAATTGTAGAATTTTAAGGTAAAATCTTAAAATATCTTTACAAATTAATAAATTATCATAATTTTAATAGTTTATAATATAATTATTGCATAAGCTTTTAATTTCAACAAGGTTTTAATTTGCGAAAATAGATATTAATGTGGTTACAATTTTAACGATTTTAATGCAATCATCAACATTGCTACAACTACAATCTCATGGAGAAGTTTCATTCTTATCATAGCCATAATCATAACAATTTCTTTCTTTCGATAACGTCATTTTATCTTTATTATTTTTCTCTTCATCGTTAAGCTTTTGCTATGACATGAGATTTAGAAAAAGAAAAGAAGAGGCTAACAATTTTTACGGTTGCGTTAAGGCCGTTGAAAATTGTGACCATGATAGGTGGGAAATTAGAAATTCAGAAAATCGGAATAGTAATCAATTATAAATTAGTCTGCGTGGTTTTCTAGCAAC